TTTAAACCGGATCCGTCTCAGGTGCACTTCTAAAAAGACGTATTAAATACCGTAATAACTCAGCCGAACCGGCCTCTACTTGGATCCTTGATTATTTCGGCCAGTTCCAGTCTCATCATCTTCATAGCCTGCATTTTGTCTGGGCGTTTTTACATAGTTGTCAATATCACATATTACATACAAGCCACGATTGCTAGTGTCTGATAAAGATAAAGCCGCCTTAGATGCCTCTTTAAAGTTTTTTCATAATCATCAAACAATCTCATACAGAATCCAGTCGCTATCTCAGAAATAAATGAGTGGATTTTATTGCCAAGGTTGCCTTGATGCCATGAAAGTAGAGAATACACCAAATGTACGCGTTGTATGTTTGAGTAATGCATCTGCTAGAAAATGGACGGTTTTAGGTGTAAATATAAGACTTGTTGCGTTTTTTGCGCAGGCAGTGATACCAACATGACATTCAAAACGCGTGGCTGAAAACCCGGCCTGTCTGCAGCGCCGCGGGTGAACATGATTGACAGCTCCCCGACCTGACCCAGAATTCCGTCTTTCCATCCATCACTAAAACTCGCCCTTTCCTGCCGTTCCCCGTTCCTGACATATCACATGTTCCAACATTAGGTTTTCCCAATGACAATAATTTCAGACACTTCTCCTGGCGGACATGCAGGGATTAGCACTTTTTACGCCCAGCCTCCAGCAGAACTTTGCGAAGATTTAGGTCGGTTTGCCGGTTGACCCCTTCCAGCTAAAACAATTTCACGGCGCTCGGTGAATCGGCGGTAGTAAAACTGTCACAACGCCGCTCGTAAAAACCCTGTCCTGCCTACATGATGTGTAAATCATGGGCCTCACGGTGGAGCAGTATTATCCCTTAGCAGGTTGGCGAAGTGAAGAACACACGCCTGCGTCTGCAGACCGGGATTTGTAGAAAAGTAACGCCGCCAATCTGAGCAATGATAATAATAACAGATGACTAAGTACACCTCGATGCGGGAATACACTTGTTGGATCTGTGTGAAGCTGACAGAATTATGCCACACAATATTGCGAACATTGGATGACTTGATGCTAGTCAATGACAGAAAGGTGCCTCAATGGAAACATAATTCTCAGTCCCTGATATAAGAGAGCGTCTGGTATCTAAAACTTCTAACTCTTCAGAGACTTTACCCTGTTGTTTGATTTATTTTGTATTCCGTATATGAATTCCAAAAGAGGAAGTTACTTCGAGTTTTTCATGATTATTAGAACAAGTAAGATGTATATCTATCTTTCACAAGCCTTTTCACTTGGTGCCTGTCCAACGAAATATTCTCCTCCTTTTTCATCATGTTCAAGTGAAACAAGGTCGATATTTCACAATGTGAAAGAAATCGCATGAATGATACATATACGATGTGTCTCGAGTACCAGTCTTGTGTTAGTGTGCCTACTGACGTGCCACGGTGCTTCCTCACATATGTAAAGGTCTCAGGTTTCCGTGCATTATGGCGTCTCTGAAGTGCCATTCACGTTGACGGCTTACGTCGAACCGCGGCCTACCTCTCCTCGCACGATTACTTTCAAACCTCGTAACCGGGTTGTACATGTGCCCTCTTCACACGTCATGCTCGCCATGTGTACTCAACTCAACCCTCAGACTTAAACCTCCATTAGGTCTGTCCGTGGTGCTACAAATAGGGTGACGATGATGGAAATGGAATAATCCGGAGACGCGGGTTTTCCATGGTGGATAAGAGCTTTATTCCGGCTGCCGAGATGCATTAGACTCCGTCCTGTATCGTCAGGGTGTGCTCCGTGTGCTGACCCTGTGTCAGCGCAGCCACTTTCGCTGGAAATGTCATGACGCTCGGTGATGAATCTACACACGAACACTCAACACATACAGTTTGGAAACTTAAAAATGTGACCAATGCTGTCTCCGGCATCCCTTTATCAACTGAAGAGTATTGGAAAAAGCGTCTTGTGATGAGTGTATATCAGAACATCCCCGCTGAAGTCGCCCTCTTTTAAAATGCAACACGTTCCGGATATTATATACGCACCATAAACCTTAACCGAGGACATCAGATGATGCCATCTCGGGACGTAGTATCGCTTGGATCATCTACTATGCGATAGAATATTAGATATGTGCATATGTCTAATGGGAAAGATGTCAAGAGTCATGGTCTTGGGTATTTTTGATTGATGACATGTATAGACATCGGTCGGTTTTGGGGAATACGTCGGTGAAGGTTAGACATCCAGGTGATAAGATATGTAAAAAAAAAGCAGTTACTCAAGCAAGTGGATATGGTTTGGAAACGGTCAGACGTGTCAGGTAGCATCCACTACCTTTTGTCAGTGACGCTGGAGAGATCACAATAAACCTGCTGATATTGAGATCTCTAGAGATCTCTCCAGTGTCACTGACGAAAGGTACCAGAAACGTCTGACCGTTTTCAAAATCATATCCAGTTGCTCGAGTAACTGTTTCTTGGCAGGTATTGAAGAATGTCTGGAACGCGTTCGGACATTGAAGCATTATCATGTCTCCTGTCCGGACGCACGTGTCATAACGTGTAACTCCGCCAGCCAATATCCCTAACATCCAGTCACAAAACTATTCAAACTGCAACCGTCCTCTGCGGCTATCTGACTCCACATGATGACCACACGGACACGGGCGTTTTGTTACATTCACTCGCGCCCTTTTCAAGTTTAGCTGGTCCGTGCACCGCGGGTACGATTCATGTCCACAACGGTAATGAGAAAAAGATAACGTATATTGGCGTTTACATTGACAAAGTGACTGTCAGGAGTGATATAGGCGCTTCATGCTTGGCAGACTTCTTTACTTCTAAGAGCCACTCTATCTTGGTAACATCACGTTTCCATCAGAGGCTGCGACCGCTGAGTGACAGCTGAGCGACCGAACATTTGACACGTATTTCTGGGGATACACAGGAATTGTCACTTAAGCAAATGGATAGGTTTTAAATACTGTCCGACGTTTCAAGTAGCATCCACTACTTTCTTTTGTTAGTCACTGACGAAAAAGTAGTCGATACTACTTGAAACGTCTGACAGAGTATTCTGGGGGTACCACGTACACGGAATCTAACATTGTCTTGTCACTGTGACATCCATGTTGTTTTCCCAGGCCCAAAAGACCATATAGCACCATATCCATGTGTCCATCAGAATTAGTCACACAAGCGGGTCTTTTGGTTGCCACATTCCTCTGGCCCAAATGTTCATCCACCCGTTTAAGTGATATAGGAAACCGTTATCCAGGACCCAGACTACATAATCACCCTGGATTGTGTTGATGTGATTTATGCATTCGTTACAACCAGTCATTTTACTTTCAAGGAGGTAAATGACCGGATGATGAGTCAAATCAGATTTTTTTTTGCTGTTTCAGAGGCACCAGTCAGGCGGCCTCGTGGGCGGTAATGAAGTTATAATTACCTCCGGGTACGGAGGTCTTGTGTGTGTTTTCTTATGTGTATTTACTTGTCTGTTCGTGGGTATTTGAATGCAGTATCTTGTGTCATTTGTAACCACAGGATCAAGTTGCCTGTCTAATGGTCTAGGGGGAAGTGAGTCTAACCGCACAGTTACTGCAAGTCCTTGGTTGCTGGGACATATAGTAGTGCTTGTCACAACAAGTCTCAGTCTGCAGAGTTCCTTTCCGAGGTTCGTAGAAAGATTTGATTGAGCTCGTTTACAAATAAGAAACTTCCCAGAGGTTTGAAATCTCCCGATTTCTTGTTACGCAGAAAATGCGTTTCATCATCTACTGACCGATTTTCTCGGAGTAACGACTCTTAGAGAGGGCGTGTGGATGAAAAGTAGAAATATTGAACGAAGAAATGATGTCATGTTCTCGTGGGGAAATATTTCAATTACTTTCTTTGAACTACGTGGAGTCCAGTTCAGGGCAACCAGACCGGAACCGTCCTCTTATAATAAATAGCCCGCCGTCGGGTTGCCGAGGCCTACCCCTGTTTGGCGTCTTGAATAATTTACATTAGTAAACGTCGATTTACAGTTATCGCCGTACCTTTCTGAATTTACGACTTTGACAATTTCCAACCGCAGGTGGCTTCATGTCACAGTCGAACGCGCTCGCAGTGATGGATACACACCATTGTGTGGCGTCAATGGCAGATTGTAATACTGTCAAGATTGACCTTAATGATGTTTGTACACATAGGAAGATTTATACAGGCAGATGGCGATGTTATTAACGATGGTGGGAACGAAAATGTATTTTCTATCAATGATGGATCGATAGTTTTAAATTATCGTTGTGGAGCGCAGCTTGTCTTCTGCGGGATATTCTCTTAACCCCATACTGGTTTAACCCAGTCTTGGGTGAGTCTTGAGGTTCACCTGTGAAGTAGGTAAGATTGTTTTTGAAACCGCGAATCGCAGACATATTGCACAGAGATGCAGCTTTGTTGCGATTGGAATTAACTCTTTAACGTTAATCAAAGCAGACCGCTGGCAATCAACGCTGTGTTTTTGTAACAAACATCGTCTTGCCGAAAACGACCTTAGGCCTGTACGTCTAGTATAGTATAGTATAGTATAGTATAGTATAGTATAGTATAGTATAGTATAGTATAGTATAGTATAGTATAGTATAGTATAGTATAGTATAGTATAGTATAGTATAGTTTAGTATAGTATGAAGTGAATAATAATGTGATGTTCCCATCCTTATGTCTTGTCTCACTATTTGCTAGTTGAAGCTCTTTGGATGGTAGATATTGAATAATATATAATAGAAACGAGTTAAGTTCTGTAAAAGGCAGATGAAGTTAACCAGTATATGTGTTCTTGTTTTCCCCAGGTCCTGCCAGACACTGTCCACTCCCTGCACACTGGTCCACATTGTTCACGGTTTCGCGAGGAGTGCGGCATAGGAGTGGCAATAATGAGAAAGAATGTTTCTTCAACCTCCACAAGAATGACATCAAGACCTTAACAAGAGAGGTGAAATCCGCACGTCGTTGCTGAAACCTTGAGTTCGATGAGGACTCCCGGGCGGTGGTCTACATGTCCACGCGGACGGCTTGCGAAGACGTCCGGCTGGTCTTCAACGTGAACGGCGTGCGGTTCGAGGCGTGGAAGAGCGTGCTGGAGCGGCACCCCCGAGACCCCTGCTGGGCGGGGACGAGAAGGAGGAGGTTCTACAACATCTTCACGGGGGAGTACATGTTCGAGGATCAGGATCCCGACCTGTTCAGGTACATCCTGAGTTACTACAGGACCAACAAGCTGCACTTCCCCCCTACCGGCTGTGTCAGGAGTTACAACCAGCAGCTGTCGTTCTTCGGCATCATGCCGGAGTTGATCGACGACTGCTGCTACGAACACTGGCGCGTGAAGAACGCCAAGGAGGTGACCCGGTCCAAGATCAGGAGACCGGCGGAGTTGGCCCTGAACGGCGTTCTGGACACCAAAACGTGTCGGATGAAGATGAGCGACCTGCTGCAAGTCGCTGTGCGGAACCAGACGGCGACCGACGTGCTGAGGTACCTGGGCTGCTACTTCGTTCTGTCGGCGGTGATTTGTACGATTGTAGAGTCTCTAAAGGCTACGGAGAACAAACGGTTCCGGGAAATGTACCACTGGATTTTTGACGTGGTTGATCCCTTCTTCACGGCGGTGTTCTCGGCGGAGTACCTTCTGAGGATGTTACTGGCACAGAGCTCCCTCCAGTTTGTACGGAGTGTCACCGGGGTCATTGACCTTTTTGTCATCCTGTCCTACGTGTTGAATTTCCTTCGGGGCGTGAACAGCACTGTGAGATCCATCCTGTCCCTGACTCGCATTTTCCGCACCCTCAAGATCCTGCAGTACGCGAAGGTGTCGCACGGCGTCCGCTGCTTGTACCACACGCTGAGCACCCTGGCCGGGGAGCTGGTGTACCTGATGTTCGGCATCGCCCTGGTCAGCGTCACCTTCGCGACGATATTTTACTACTTCGAAAAGCAGGTCCCCAACACGAGCTACAGCAGCATCCCGTCGTCCTTCTGGTTCACCATCGTGACGATGACGACGCTGGGGTACGGGGACCTGATCCCCATGACGCCGCAGGGGAAGCTGCTGGCCGGCGTGTGCGCGCTGGCGGGAGTCATCCTCATGAGCGTGCCGGTCACCATCATCGTCACCACGTTCAACAGGTGCTACAGATCCGCGGCCTGGAGGGGGGGCGGGGCCGACGCGGACGGCGACGACAAGTCACAGACTGAGGCGATCGAGCCGTTCAGTGTGTCCATGCCCAAGAGAATACCGGATTCCGCGCGTTGAGAGTATACGTACCCAGGCTGGCTTCGGGAGCGATTGAAAAGAGTAGAAATTTGCCAGATGAGAGACAGATAACATGTCAGGGGAGTTGGCCCGTTAAGGGAGTACAGTTTGCCGCTGCTTTCGCGGACCAACTCCCAAGGCATGTTATCTATTTGCCAATTCTACGCTTTCTATTTGATTCTAAAGCCTGATAGAGACTACGGCATATCATAAGAACAACTGTAGAAGCGTTTTTATGAGGCAATCTGTGTTGGTTTTGAAGATCTTGAAGAAAAACGATTCAATTTTCTTCTACCGCAAAAGATTGCGTCACCGAAGTTCCGAAAACGTCCGGGTCCTCAGTTATCCTGCGGAAGACCTGAGCACTGGTCGGAGCGTCGGTGGATCGATCTGTCGTGTTGCCTGTTGGGGGAGAGTTGAGTCGTTTTTCCAGAACTGTAGTTTTTTGTAAAACGGCAAGCCGTTAAGACGTACGCCCAACCTGAACGTCGCTCGGTAGGAAAGTGATGTTAAAGCAGTCTCAGGTCAATGGGGGGGGGTGATTTTGAAAATGAGTCGTACAATGTATACACCTGGTCATGTCAGTTTAATAGGGCCCTGTCTCACCCGACATACGATAGATTTACGACAAAAATTCAGGGCATTCGGGGGCAGTCGCGGATGTATCGTACAATATTCAGCTGTCGGAAAAGTTTGTTGTCAGTGGTTATTTTATTGCCCCGATAAAAGTAACATGGCAAAAAAAGACTTACGACCTCATCTTTAGATAAATAAATCCTCCGGGCAGCGTTTTCCCCAATACATTGCCAGTCATACTGCGTTTGGCTTGTAAGTTCAGTCTAAAGAGCTTACTTGTGAAGCGCATTTATACAAGAACCCCATGATGGTGAAAGCTTGGGTAATCCCCATAGCCGTTTACATAATGAATGATAATGACGATTAATGGTTATTCGCGTACGGCGGGATACAATAGGTAACGTGCGTGATGTAGTACTAGACAGGTTTGATTGCCACCGTGAATAGCTTCATCAGGTAGATAAATCACTGGGTATTAAGGTTCTTTGTACACAACAACTGACAATTATATCTGTCAACGTTAGGGTCAGTCATTAATTGCCCTGAGGAAGGTAGCAGAATGACAATCGAACCATTGGCAGGCAGTATTGTTATTAGGATATAGGGATTTTCTTCTTACACAACAGGTAATATTTCAGTTATAACAGTTTCTCCCCTGCTTACGTTTTGATGCCTGTCAAAAATCTTCTTAGAGCTTCTGACTCGAGTACTATTTTTCGCCGCAACATGTCAGAAGACCTGAGGAAGATGTCTGACAGGCGTCTGAAACGTTGAGAAACATTACAGGTTGTGTATAAACAAAATCCCAATATCATGTGGTTCTATCAACCGGATGAAATTATTTTCGGAAATAATGTTTTTAGTTGTGTACAAAGACCGTGATATCAAGATTTGATTGAAGTTTCTGAGATGTGCGATGAAGGTTCCATGGATGTTACACATGGCATCCGTGGAGACTGAAGTTATGAATGAAATCGTCTTTTTTTGTTTCAAGGAAGTTCGTGCACGAAGCCTTTCAGATTGGTTGTAGTTTCCCACGGCGGTATCCGTTGCGGTGTATCATGAAACTGTACCTAATGCCTGTTTATATGTGAACTGTTTGTTTGTATGTTTGTTTGTTTTGTCATTTCTTTGCTGTTTTATCTTAGCAAGGAAAAAAGAAGAAGGTAGATGTAACAAGAACATTTTTGAAGATTAAGATTTACGGTTTGACCTGACAGTAAGTGCTGATGGCCGATGGTGATGATGATGATGATGATCAGTGCACATGAAAATAAAACATATCAAGCACCTGGACCCAGCTTCCGTATATATTGTGTTGGCTCTTTGTTCAATGTACGGTCAACCCTGGTGTGCTACGCCGAAGGGCAGTTGTACCAGCTACTAGTATACAGAACCCTGTTCTCATAACCACCTCTGCTCAGGAAGCATCTGGCCATTGATGAACAGTCAAATATTAATATGCTGATCCCTTAGATTATTTTGCACACTGATCCAGGCATCTTAATGATAAGAATAATTCTGTCCATAGTGTCCACCTGCCTATCACGACCACTTTCTCTTCGGTGGTCCATTCAGAAAGATTTGACCGTATGCAACCTCAGGTCTTACGTTGAGTCAGAAAGAATACAACGTTACATATCCGTAAGCTTCAGAAGCTCACTACATCGTCACTGTTCTCTACCTAACTTGCATAGAAGAGGGGGCAATATCGATTATTCTTGGTCTTGTTATTTGGATGAGAACGGCTAGAGAGGGAAATCTACAAACATATTGAGCACGTTTATCCTCCCAAAAGTTTCCACTAGTGAGGTTGGTAAGCACCAGGTTTGGGACCATACTACTTTGGCATTTCGATCTTGGCCTTGTTATTTGATGCAAAGAATAAATTAATCCAGCCTGGCGATTAAGAACATTATTGCAGGTAGGCTCACCCATGATGCTGTCAAAATTGTATGGGCCGCCAGGTGTCCCCACTGTTCTGCAGCGTGATCTTTTGTTCACCCAGTGCTGATAATTCACAATCGATTTATAGAATTGAATATACCACAGCTCGGTAGTATAAAAGGAGGACCCTCCAACCTCCGGCCTTGCGAACGTCATGTGGGATACTAATAGGATCCACCTGTGAATCAAACTCGAGTTGGTTTTGTACAATTTATTTACTTCCTTTCGTATAAGACAAGCAATAATAGCCCACAGAGGTCCGCTCAGTCACTGATGAAGGGCAGACATCCGGATAGAACCGCACAAAATAAATTAAACAACTGGAAACATTCTCTAAAGAGCCATACGTTTCAGATAAAGCATCCGCTATCCTTCATCACTGTCACTGGTGCCATCACATGATGACTCTTTTGAGAGAAATCACTTGATTTATCCTGTATTATGCAGCACTCAATCATGACTTTTGGCAAATAATCGGAGCTGGGATCACGACACGGGTTTAGATGGGTGGCGTCGGCTCCTGATACCGGAGACTGTCAGACACCCTGACGGGACATGCGCGTCTGGGGCGCGATCAGTCCCACTCTTCGGTGAAATCGATGAAGACACATGCTGTAGAAGATTTAGATAAACATCTTAAAGAAATTCTGAGGTACAAAACGGTCGAGATGCTCTGCATTCTGGCCGGCTGTGATAACGTGAATCGACTCCAGTGCAAGCAATACGAAATATGGAGGCATACATTCAGTCAACAGTCAAGTGATTTCGAATTAAAATTCGTTGCGCTGTCAGCGTTACATAGCACATTGCTCAAATAGCCCGGTGATGTGTCAACACCTTATATAAGACTTCTATATTTAAGACGCTCTAATTATCCATTGACATTGTATGACACTAGTCGCGAAGAGCCATACTCTCCAAGCAGAGGTTTGGGTTTTGGCTTATTTTTATAAACGCCGATAAAAAGCGTAAAAACACGCCAAAAATAAGCCCAAACCCAAACCTCTGCTTGGATAGTACCCACTGTTCTTCATTCCCGTTACTAGTATCACACTGCAATTCATCTGTGTTTTCGCAAGACGTCGCTTTCGAGGCAGTGCCTACCAATCAGGGAGCAACATGAAGGATTTTCCTTGTTGAAATGAACATTAGAATCGGTCATTGAGAAAAATAATGTTTGAACAATAAATATTTTAAACAAAGCAATGTTTCTACACCGCATTACAAACAGGCAAAGTGAAGGCAACGGTTTAATGCAATTAACTCCAACGATGTCATGCAGCCAGTACTAAATTTCGACAAATGAATTATGTTTTATTATAGATAGACCACTATTTACCAGTGAGAGAAAAAATTCCTATTGAAAATTGCACGATTTAAACACCCCGGCCTTCCTGTCGTATATTGAGAACCATCCTGTGTAATCATACATGGGCGGGATGGCCTTTCTGTGGGGAAACGTCCCAAGTAAAACGGTCCGTGAATCATGCAACCAACAATCATCTTTGCGGCGGGCTCGTCAACTAAGAGTATTACTAGTTTTGATACGCACAAGTTTATTGATAATTCCGTAACAACAAAACGGCACTTAAATCCGGATGGATCTGATATTGCTAGGCGAAGAGCTCATATGATGTTACTTATATCCCTATTTGCCACCTGGGCTGAAGCATAACAGAAAATAATACATTTCAAATCAAACGTCCCACGTAAATCTAATGGTGAAGCAGTCAAATGTGATGGTGAAACAATCAACCCCACATCAGCCTGCGCTGCGCCGTCTGTCAAATATTTGCACATATATATTAATGTTGTGAGTGCGTCAGGGTTCGATCAGTCCGGCGGAGGCAGCATATGTTGAAAGTTTCATATTTGCGTCATCTCTCCTTTTCGCTTAATGAACATCACGAGGCAACGCGCATATTTATCGACCTTGGAAAGAGCCGTCAAAGTCGATGACGATATATATCTCAGGGTACGCAGAGATCGCAATCTGGCAGAATCGGCGATTGGGCCGGTAGAGATCCCCATCAGGGTCGGTAAACTTAAAGATGTTCCCTTAAAAGACAGTCAGAACTCTTCGATTTCGATTCACATCACTTTAAATCAATGGATTGGCTTGAAATGTAGAATTTATAAAAGGGACACCACAATAACACATTCACGGCATCAGGACCAGAGTCTCTGTTGACAGAGACACCAGTCGGGATCTCTACCGGTAGAAGTGCTGATTCTGCCCGATCGAAATCTGTACCCGGAAATATGTGCATCCTTAGATGTGCCTTAATGTACCTGATGAAAGCGTCACGTGCCGATATAAATAGAACGTTAAGTGTCGCCATTACCAAGAAGCAATTTGTTTTCATTTCAAGTAAGATTGTGCTTTTAAAGGCCTCTATTTTAGGATCTGAACGATAAAAAAGTAAATGTTTTTGTCGACCGTTTCCCTGAATGATAAGTTTAATACTAGTATGCTT